TAAGGTTATATTAAGACCAATGGACTCTATAACAATTCCTTCAGTATCTCAGCTAGGATGCCATAACAAGGATTTAGCAACAAACTGTGAATGAGAGTTCATATCAATGCATAGATTTAACTAAAAATGACCAAATATAATGTCCAAACACAGTGGTATAATAATAGGTAATTGTACGAATATATATTAATAAATTGTAAAAAGTGAAACAATAGTGTAAAGAGGCTCTTTATTCCATGTAATTCCGTCACCACCTAGTAATCGAGTACATCAATATTCTGAAGCGTCTATATAAAAGTAGAATTGCACTGAAGTAACAGTATATTATATTAATACTGATTTATAATTTAGTATTTTGGAGCATATAAAGTGATTGATAGATTGCTGTAATAACAGCAAGGAATTGCCTGTAATATTAGTTGAGTGACAGCCAAAATTGTTCTCGTGGATTAATTTAGCAAAATAGAATACTTAAAATTAATGGGTCGACACTTCAAATTACTAAAAATTGATATAATTAAATTATGGCAAAATTTAAATCAAACGTAAACTAGGTATAGGACACTAAAATATTCTGAATTCGGAACGCAATCAAAGAAATAAAACAAGAATAATTGAATTTGAAGAGGATTAAATTGTTTTAAGTAAATAAGGGGTATAACATCTGATAGATTAATATAGTATATCTATCTCATCAAGACTAGTATATGTAGTAAATAAAACTTTATATAAATAAAAATTAAATATAATACTCGGCTCTAATTTATTTACATGTCAATTCGGATATACCCAATGTCTATAAATCTGTATAATTATCATACAAATAAATCCTCAAATTAAGCTTATATATGAAATTAGTTACTATGAAAAAGTATTATACTCATGCTTTGATTTAGAAAGCAGCTCCTCCTTTTATTTAAAGAAAGCATACTAACAGAATCGCAAGTATATATTTTAATTATATCTTACTGCAATAAAATAAGTACATGATACCTAATATATTAGGTTGTTACAGTTTGCGAAAAGATTAGAAGCAACAATATGAGTTATTAATTATGAAAAATTACTCATGCACAGTAAAATTTGTTGCTAACGATAACAAATAAATATACTTGCCTCCGCACCACCAAGACAGGTAAGTTCATCGGCATGAAAGTTTCCAGCTAGACCTATCTCCATTCCGGCTTCCAATATTCGTTTTGTTTGATTTATGTTATAAACTCCTAATTTAATTAACTATAATAATGTATGACCTTTTTCACAGAATACATCGATATTATCGACGTCTATCTCTCCTTTCTTCATTGAAGCTTCCAAAAGCGGTATTTGTTCGTTGATTATTTTCTCCGTAAATTCCTCTGCATTCGTATTTCTATGAATAAGTTTCAAAGTAAGTATACTTTGGGACGGCGTGAGCCGCCAGGTACGTTATGGAAATGTCAAGAGGCAATTCTCTTTTTGCTCGAGTTAGAACTTTAAGTAATTTTTTTTCATCTTCCCAGGTTAGCCCATAGCCGGATTTGCACTCAAGAGTAGTTGTCCCTTTCCTGCAAAAATTCTTTAAGGTGAATAAATATTTATTTTTAAGTTACCTTAAGTCGTGACTTAAGTGAAGCGTACAGCTCCCCTTCGCTAGCTTCTTTTGTGTGCCTTACAGTAAAATGAATACCACCACCTTTCTCGTGAATTTCAATGTAGGAAGCTCCACTCATCTTAAAAATAATAAAATAACTTCAGAAGTTTTACCTTCATTGTAAATTCGTGGACTCTGTCTCCAGCCCACACAGGATGCGTGTGGGCATCAACAAATCCAGGCATAACAACGCCTCCGTTGCAATCTATTTCAATAATGTTTTTCACACTAGGTGAAAATCTGGAAGAGTCGATTATATCTTCAATTATTCCCTCACTAAAGGTTCATTTAAAACATAGGACTAACTCATTAATAATTATAGAAAGTCGAGAGGTTGATATCGAATTCGTAATATGTATATTGTCTGATTCTTCTACAATAAGCTTAGATTCGTTAGTTTTTATCACATTAACAATTTGTTTAATATTTTTAAGCAGAAGAGGCATGATGTGAACGTCGAGAGCATAGGACGCGGTAGTAACACTAACGTTGGTTAAAAATATGCAGATATGCACTTAAACTAATTTATAAAAAATATTTTTTTTAATTTTTTATTTAAAAAAATATATATTTTTATTTATTTTATCAATTATTTCAAAACTTACAAAACAATAATTATTTAATACACTTTTATTTAAAATGATTTGCTTAACTATATTTATCCGTTTATATTATTAATAATAACATTGCCTTATTTGATAGGCACGCCGGTATTTGCTTTTGCATAATTACCTCGTTGCCTTTATTAAGGCATATTGTTTTTTGTTCTTATTTGTCTTTTAAATGGGT